TGACTGGGAGGTGTTCTTGGTGCTACCTCAGGTGAAACGGAGTTTGCTTGATACTCATGACAGAGTTTGCCTGTTTTATAACCATGGCAGGCTTTTAAATTTTTCAGTTATTTATTTGCCAGCTGCTTGCAGAGACCTGCATCGCTGTCTCCTGAGGATCCTCTTGAACACCGTTTACTTGAGTTTGCTGTGAAATCTCAGCAAGTTAAATATTTGACATGCAGTCTCTATTATTTTTATTTTTTTTCTTAATTTCAGCACTCTGCTCTTCTCTCTTCCCAGCAGTCGCTGGTCAGCATGACATTAAACCTGCAAACCAGAACATTTCTCTAGTGATCGGGTACATCTGGGTCCTCTGAGGATTCAGTTGCCGTCGTTATTAGAAGAGTTGCAGAATGGAGTCACTCTGACTTAATTATGTCTATAGATGAAATAAGCCTGCCAAAAAGCGACATTAATCAAATAGGTAACAGAAGCTATTCAGTTTCTCTTGTTCTCTTATTTATATAATGCATCAAGTGAAGGATTGGCTTTGGTTCATCATGGTTGTACTCCAAGTTTTCCCTCTTGACCTTATATATCACTTTGCCAATGGGTTGTCTGACTTCTTTGGATTATAAGTAAATGAAATCCAGTGTAATTTCATTTTAAAAAGAAAAAAGCTGAGGTGGCATTCTGCAGCACATGTCTGTAAGCAGGGGGAACCACTTACATTATTTTAAATGGAGTTCAAATACCATGCATTGGGTTTTGGTGGTGGTGGACTAACAGAAAGTGAGGTGGGGGATTCCGAGCTCGCACCAGCAGAAAACAATTCATTTAAGAAATGAGGTTGGCAAAAGCATCTTTGGCTGATCTGATTCATGCCAACCGTAAATGACTTTAAACGATGTCTCTCAGAAGGAAAGCCTTCCTTTTTGATATTTGTGTGTTTGAAGCTGTTAGTTGGGCCTTTCTGATATTTGTGTAAGCACAGCACAGCTGTTGATCGGGGATTGGATCGCTGGGCATCTCTGGAGGAGGACACTTGGTTTGAATCTGTAGCCTGAGACTCGGTGTTGACTCGAGCATCACACCGAGAGCTGGAATCGCTCTTGTCGCAGCACTGAGCGGGGATCGCCTGGGAAAGCACAAGGAGGAAGAAGGCTCTAACTGCTCTAGGGTTTTGCTCAAATCTGCCTTTTTAAGGGGAAGGGACCCTTCTGGTCCCATCCCTCCCCCCACCAGGGAGTTTGGCAAAGTCATCCTGAGAGTCTGCAACTCCAAAGTAAGTCTCCTTTGCTCTAAAACAAAGACCTACACCAAGCCAAGAAGCTGCTGTGCTTACAGTGCTTCGTAGTAAATATTTACAGAGCCTGGTTCACTTGGGCTATTTAAAGCCATTTTCCTGAGATATTCATCTGTTTAAAGGGAGAGCCTGAGAGCAGCATGAAATACATATCTCCGTCGTCTTTCTACCTTTTTTGATGCGATTTCCAGTTCCGGATGCCCGCTGCCTCCTCCGTGGGGCTTTTGGCAACTTGGGGACTTTCTCCAAACCCTGAATTCCCAAGAGGAAAGAGAGGACTGACAGTCTGATGCAAAATCATATCAAGTGCTGGAAGCAAACTGTTGTTTCGCTCGGAGAGGGGTTTTACTTTCCCTGTTTGCATCAGGTGTAATCATTTGGGTGACAGTTCTAACTAAGCTAAAGTTGGGTGTGGGGTTTGGATTGAAGCAAAGCGTTCTGTGCTCCACGTGAGCAATTTGGAAGAGATTTTAGTTTCCTGTAACACATCCTGTGTATTCCCATGGGAAAATCACTTGCTTTCACAGGTTATCCTTCTACCAACTGGCAAAAGAAATAAAAGGTTTGGAATTCCCTGGAGTCTTGCCTGGGAGTGTGAAACCTGGCTCCGCGCAGGGGAATCGGGTGTCTGACATCAGGCTTGGTGACAGCAAAGCGCTTCACGAAGGCAGGTCGAGAAGTGGGGTTGTGATGGCGTCAGCCTAAGTAGGAGTCTAAAGCAGGGCTGGAAAAATAGCAGAGGAGGCAGCCTGAATGTGAAATGAGAGAGAACAGCCCAGACTTGTTTTCCAAGCCTCAGTCGTTTCGTTGTGTCGTGCTAGATCTTGGTTGAGAAGAAGATGGGTTGATATAAAATAAGCTTCAAACCAGACTGTTCTCTTTTCCCCTGAGGGCCGGGCAAGGTTGCAGAGGTGAGTTGGCTGGTTTTGTAGCCCTGCGTGGGGGTTCGTGGCAGCACATCCCTTCCAGGGGATCAAAGCGCGTTCTGGCAGAGAATCAAATGTCAGTCTCAAAATGAGCTGTACTTGGCTGTGAGCAGAGGTGGTGCTCAGGTGGGGGAAACCCTGTCAGCAACAGGAATTAAAATTTTAAAAGTTTCTTTAGCTGTGTTGGCGTAGGAGCTGCCTGAAACGTTCTACCAGCAGCCTCTGTGCACTGGTGGCATCTAGTGGCTGCCGTGACTGACATCCCCAGGTCCCTGGCACAAGGGGACAGCCGAGAAAGTGAACCTGTTCAGAGTACTAAGCAGCTAAAATAGAAAAAAAAAAAAAAGAAAACAGACAAAAAAGATGTTGTGTTCAAGCTTTAAAGGGAGGCCCTTTGAGCTGACTTGATGCGCTGAGTGGTTATGGAATAGGGAAGTGGATATTGTCTCCAAAATGTTGTGGTTGTGCAGTTTTTGTCCTTATCAGTGAGCTTGTAGGCAGTTTGCCTGAGAAGTTAATTTAGTCCCTAGTCCCAGTTTGAGTGTATGGAAGTTGTGTGTCACTTTCCTCCAACCTGTCTTACCAGATGCTGCTTAAAGGCTGGCTTTAGCCTAGAATAAATAACAAGTTGAAACAGCTTTTCTTTGAAGTCGAGTGTCTGCATCCCTCAGGCTGGTTTCATGGCAGTGCCTTTACCCTTCGCCCCCAGCACCCTCATGCCAAGGAGAGAAGTTGACTGGCAGCTGTCTGGAAGCACGAAGGGAGAGATTTGGTACTTTCCTTTCTTCCATTCTTTTGAGTTTGGCATTTGACGTCGAGCGTGGTGGCAGCAGGTGCCTGGAGAAGCTGACAGGCCCACTCCGGCATGGTGAGCTCCATCCAATTTCCCACACGTCTGCAGGGACAAGTACAACCATGCCCCTCGTGCTTCCACCCTCCACCTCGCGTACCTGCTGAGCACAGACACCACTGTGAAGGGCGTAAAGGACTTCTGCTTTGTACTTGTTCGTTTTCACCGAGTGTCTCTGGAGCAAGGAGCAGTTGTGGCAGGAGCCCAGGTAGTTTTCCAGCGCTGTTTTCTGCTGGTCGTGCCTGTGTTGTTCTGCTCAAAGACCAGTGTTGCTCTGGTTTATAGCATGTGGTGTACTTTCCTATGGGTATGGAGGGAATGGTGCTTTGGTGACTGAGTTGTATATTTGCAAGGAGGATCCCATGTTCCCTGTGGTGGGGATGTAGGCCGGGCAGCTCGTGAGCGTGGAGCCTAACGAAGGCATTTCTGGGTTTGTGTGTTTGACATTTCCCTTAATGAGTTTTCTTCTCTTTCCGGTCATCATAGAATCACAGGATGGCTTGGGTTGGGAAGGGATCTTAAAGATTATCTTGTCTCAACCCCTTGCCATGGGCAGGGCCACATCCCACCAGCCCAGCTTGCTCCAAGCCCAACCTGGTCTTGAACACTTCCCGGGATGAGCATCCACAGCCTCTCTGGGCAACCTGTGCCAGCGCCTCCCCACCCTCACAGAAAAGAATTTCCTCCTAATACCTCAATCTCCCCTCTTTCAGTTCAAAACCCCTTGTCCTATCACAGTGCTCCCTGAACCCATCCCGCTTTAAAAGCTGATAGTTTCACCTTGATGGTGGCATTTTTGGAAGAACTGTGATTTTTGTGCCCTGCAAGTTGTCTCTGTTCCCCCTCTTTGGGTGCAGCTGCTCCATCCACAGGTCAGAGCTGCTGGCACAGAGGATGCTGAGGACTTAGCCTGGTGAGAAATGGAGCAGTTCTGCGTGGAGTGGGGTCTCTGGGGATTTTGTGGCTGAAACAGGGCAATGAGCTTAATTAATTAACCCCTTCCCTAATGGCCTGTAGCAGGGGACGATCCTGGTTCAGGAACTGGAAATGTCGGGATGTGTCTTCATGGTCACAGAGCAGCTTTGCTCCTGCTGCTGCTTGCCGTCCCTGAGGATGAGGGAGGTTTATCACCTGCCTTAAAATAAATATAGATTGTTCACTTGTCTCTGGAGGAAGATAAGAATGTAAACTGTCTATTTTCTGTGATAAAGCACTGAAAATAGTTGGAATTTAAGATAATTATCTTGATTGCTTCTTATAGCACCCTGTGAAGGCTGAGATCTAATTTGTTTTGCACTAACAGGGAGCTCCTGCTGATGACTCAGAAAAATCCATTTGCTTTATTGACAAACTTGTCTGTTTGGTTATCAGGGCAGCATTCTCCTTGCAGGGAAAGGGAAATACAGGTCGTAACGCAGCGGTGGCTTTTTATTATAAATTCAAGGTTTGATACCTATTGGCAGGAGGGGAAAAAAAAGTCATCAATATATTAGGAGTGAAGGGACCCTGTTTAAATACAAGACCGTTGTAAATTAGTTTATGCTTTAGTGGGTGTGCAGTAATGGCGTTCATTGCTTTGTTTAAGCAACTTAAATACTGCTGAAGCTTTATTAACTTGCAGAGAAGCTGCTTTTCCTGGGTGCCTGGTGCCCCTAGGCCGTTCCTGAGCCCAGGTGTTGCCTGCAAGGGGAATATTATCCAACAGTGGAGAAGTAAGAAGCAATCTAGGGGTTAACTATGTTTGTAGGGAGGAGGCATAAAGCTCAACAAGAGTAGCCTTTGCCTTGATGAAGAGGTCTGCTTCTATCAAGTCTCTATAGCCCTCCACAGCACCTTCTGTGAATGTGAAATGATCACGCTCGGTGGACAGAAGTTCTTGTCTGCTTCTGAAGACCTGCTCGGTGTTTGCTCAGCCTTTTTATTGGTTTCCTTTCAGGAATTGACTACAAGACCACTACTATCTTGTTGGACGGCAGAAGGGTCAAGCTGGAGCTCTGGTGAGTGTTTCTGAGCTGCTTTGGCTGCAGGCACAGGGGCCGTGGTGCTGCTCCTGGGATGCTGGACTGAGCAGAGCAGCCCAGGCGTGCGGTGAGGCTCGCTAGCTGTCCTTCCCAGAGAGTTATTCTCACAAACCAGACTTTCCCTGAAGAGCTGGTAGCTTCAGTTTATGACACCTCAATGTAACCTTTTACCATTGCTTTCCTCATAATATTTGATTGTCGGGGGAGAACGAGATTTAGGTAGAGACTCTTAGACTGACATCCAGGACATACGATCCTTGAAAGCTTTAGATCTGAAGGAATGACTGTCCTGAACTTGAGGTCACTGTCACCGGTGCAGATCTGCAGCTGAGGGTTTGTCAGGCTTCTCAGCAGTCATTACTATGTCTTTTATCCTGGCCTGGTGAATCGACGTGACAACCGTAACGTGTCTCTGATTACCAGTATATACTGGTAAAACTGGTGTGCTGGGCTCTGGTTTACTGTCCCAGGTGTGCCCACAGGCACTGAGAGGTGCTGATGTTGTAGGCAAACTTATTTACACCATGTTGAGGGTTCCAGCCAGGACAAATGGTAGTGGCCACATAGCCCCGTACTGTCACAGGGCTGGTCCTGGTCCCTTTTCCTGATCTCTCTGTAGGGGACGATCAACCAGATCTGTCAGAGATTTGGGTGTAAAGTTAAAATGTGTTTGGAAAAACGAGTGAAACCAGACAGTGCGAGACAGTTTCTCCAATCTTGAGTAGTTGTGTTTGCTTTACGATAGGTGAGGTCTCCTCTGTGACTAGGAGCGGTTTACCGTCTCACTCTGGCTTTGAACTCCCGTGGACTGCGGGGAACTAGAGAGAAAATCCAGTTTGGGCACCACGCATGTTCCAAAGACCTGGCACAAGATCAGCACTGATTTTTATTTTTTTTTTTCTTTGGGTTTAACAAGAGATGAGCAGTATGGGTTTTGATTCTCCAAATTTCACAGCTGTCACTTTTCTTTGTTGCAGGGACACATCAGGGCAAGGAAGATTTTGCACCATATTTCGATCCTACTCTAGAGGAGCCCAGGTAAGTGCTGCTCTTGGTGCTTTGGCAGAACACACTTGCTTTTTCTTTAGGCTGTAAAAATCTTCCAGGCTGTAGCAGAGAGCTCTGAAGAGGAACACATCAAGCATCGAGAGGCTGGGAACTATGTAAATGCCAGGAGGCCCTGCGTGTCGTCTTACTGCCTGGTGTTCTGGTTTTATGAAGTGGCAGGGAGGGGACTGGATGGCAGACTTTCCTAGACTGCTAGAGAAAAGGTCCATTATGGGCTATATTCAGGATTAGTTTCTAGAGAAGGGCTGAGATGGTGGGGTTGTAGAGGACGAGGCAATTCCAAGCTCTAGATCTGCCTTAGCTTTGCTGTGGGAGCTCGTACTTTCTGAGATTTGTCAAATTTGGTTAAATACGACGCTGGCTTTCCCAGCGGAGTTCTTGCAGTCTGTGTTGCCTTCGAGTCAGTTCCAAAAATAGGGTGGTTCCTACTTGCATGTTTGATGCAGACTTGAAACTAGAGCAGCTCAATTGGATTGTAAAGCGTGTTGCGTAAAACATGAGACGGAACATTACGTTTTGAGTTTCTCCTTTGGGCCCTGCTCCAGAATAACGTCTGGATTCTGAACAGCAGAAAAACGTTGTGGTCCTCTGAAAAATGGCTGTTAGTTAATAGTGCTTTCTTACAGTTTTACTGTCATCCTTTTAGTAACACGACAGGGTCCCTCCAGGATAAAGTCTCCCCACGCTCAACAAAATGCTCTGTTTCCTTTTGGAAATTGAGAAAGAGCTGAGAGAAAATTCCTCCTCTGTTATATAGCTTCTGACTCTTAGTGTCTGTCAACCTCCTGACTGTGCTGGTAGCCTGGCAGCTTCCCAGCCTCTGGGAAAATTTGCCATTTTTATTCAAACTCTGGCCACTATTGCTCTTGGCTTTTTTTGCTCCTTGTAGCGGTTGGGACTTTGGATTTTGCCAGTTGGCAAAATCCATCACGCTCTTTTTCCCTGAGACTTCCTGCAAATTCACTTGTGCCGTAGACATGAGAACACTTTGCCTGGGATGTGCTGTTGTTATCTCCTTGGGTGTCTCGTTTATTCTTGTTTGTGCGCTTCTCTGAGGTGGTGGGTGCTTTGCGGCGGCTCCTTTGAAGCGGAGCCCAATTTCCTGGTGCCTGCAGAAGTGCAGGGCGAGGAGCGTTGGAGTGTGCCTTCTGCAGTGGGAGAGAACAGGATCCCACATGCAAATTTATCTTTAAGCTTCCCTCTGCCCTTACTGTATTTCAGAAAAATTTGGAGCTCAAATCCTAATATAACCTCTGTATCAGATCAGACAGGGAGTAGAAGATGACAGGCTTCCTGAAAAATGTGCACAGAGAGAGCTTTTACCCCTGTCTGCAGCATGACCTGCTTTTCCAAACTGCCCTACGGAAGACTTTCCCCTGGTTGTGTAGCCTATGAGCCCCTCAGAGCAAGAGCTGTGTCTCTGCAGGGCTGCACCCAGCAGAGCCTGCACCCACATAGCAGGAACACAGATACTGTCTCTCTTGAATAACTCCCCACATCTTCAACACAAGAGGAAAGTATCTTAATTTAAACTCTGAACGGCTGACCGAAGCAAGAGGACTGCTTGTTTGGAAAACCAGATGCCTACGTGACTGCAAGAATGGACTTCAACACCTCCCGTTATTTTGAGCACGCAGAAGCTAACTTCTTCTGGCATAGCATTGGCGTAAAGGCAACTTATCACAGAGTGCTCTCAGGGGAAAAAGAGATAAAATGCTCCCAAGTTCTCTTATTTCTTCAAGATATATTTAATGCTGCATGCTATATTGACTCCTTTTGCTTCCGCTGCTTGCTTTTCTCTTTGCTGTCCTGGTATCATCAGACTTGAAGGCTTCTGCTGTAGGAAATCCAGCTGGATACAAGAGAAACAGCGCCTTCTTTTTTTTTCTTTTTTCTTTTTCTTTTTTTTTTACCTAACAAACCAAAAGTGCAGGAAGAATAAATAGAGCAGAGAAGAGCAATGCCAGGGTGGGAAAAACTTTGTTTAAAGAGCAGCATGATATTTGTACAAGAACAGCTTTGTATAAACTGGCCATGAGCACCTTCACACTGAAAACTAGCAGAAGGTTCTCACTGAGTAGAGGGCTGGGGCTCTGAGCTGAGCTTCCTGTAAGGAGCACAAGGGAAGCTTGAAGAGAGTTTCCAAGGAGGATTTTGCTGGGTTAGCTGTGGGAGCAAGAGGCTGGCCCTGGCAGCCTTTACAAGAGGTGACTGAGAACAGAGGGAGTCTATCCAAATAGCCGCTACCTCCGAGAGTACTTGGTATGAAAAGTGCCTTCAAGTGAGGGAAGCATGCCCTGACTTTCCCCCCCCCACACACCCCTTGTTTTTCAAGTGGAGTGATAAGAATTGAAGCTGCTGAAGTAAACCCTGGAGAGGTTACAGAGTGGAAAAGCAGACTCCAAACAGGGAGAAGACCTTCTCAGGATCCTTCCCCCCCCAGCACGTCCTCATGCTTTGTTCAGTGTGAGCTGTGGGCCAGTGTCTCCCCAGTGAAAGGACTCTTGAGCACCTCAACGCCTTCCTCAGTCCAGACTCTGCACTGCTTGACTTTCGTGTTCGGCAGCAACTTCTTCGTCATCGAAACATCTCCAGTAGCTTCGCTGCCCTTAATGAGCTGGCTTCAAATGGGGACCAGTCCCTTCTTTCAGCCAAGGGGGACCAGCCTCAGGGTTTGTCCTGCTGGGCAGGGAAGAGCCTGCAGCCACATCACAGTGACTGCAGGGCCAGGGGAGGGCAGGAGGTGGAAACCCGATAGTGTTGCAACCTGCAGACCAAGCTCAGGGAGCTTGGAGCTTTCTGTATCACGGAAGGATTTTTATGTTAATTTTTGCAGTGTAGCATATGGCGAAAGATGTTCAGTGACGCTTCAGGGTGCTTCAGAAATCTTTCATTTTGCTCTTGGACATCTGCTCTTTGGCTTTTTCTGCTTGGTTATAAGGTCTCAATCGTACCAACAGCAGAGCTGGCACACTGGCCTCAACCATTGCATTCAGCTGCGTCTCTTCTGGGTGCTGGGAGCAAACATGAGCTATTCCAAGAGCCTTCACAGAGAGGGGAAAGAGGGTCCTGGTGGTGCTTTCTGATCTAGCAAGGAGGAGGCAGTGCCAGTGTCGTTCTGATGTTGTCATGTGCCAGCAATTTAAACTGGTTTTGGGGATGTGGTTTGCCATCTCCTCACAGACAGAGATACAGAAGATCCTTCGTGAATAGTTTTAGACCGTCTACAGGAAGATTAATCAACATAGACAAACGTGCTGATTTTTCAGCAGAGCTGCAGCCCTGACATTATAATGAGTATTGCCGAGTTCTGCTTAGGCAGGTGATTTCAGTAGCTGCTGTTTATCCCGTTCTGGGCTTCTTAGTATGCGGGAAGGTGGCAGCTTTTTTGGCAGCTCAGCTGGCTCAGAGATGGAGACTTTGCTCTACCTTACATCTTTTCTTAGTTGTTGCAAACACTTTGCCTGCCCCAGATCACTTTTGAGGGGGTTGTCCAGCTGCTGGAGGGGCCCAGCCTGCCTGCCAAAATGTTTTATCAAGAGCTCAATGCTAAATAAACGCCCGCGATGTGTTATGCTGTTGGGAAATGATTTGGTGGCAGGATGTACTTGCCTGCAAGCCAAGGTCCGAGGTGCCAGCTGGAAAGCCGTTACCAAACGTAACTCCGAAGGAGCAGGCAGCAGAGACAAAGCGTTCTGGCTGCCACCAGCGCTGGGTCTTTTGTTTCTGGTTTACTCTGGGCTGGAGAAATCCAGTCTGGGGGGCTCTTCCAGGCTTCTCCAGCAACAGCTTTTATTTTGCATTGGTAGAGAATATCGATGAGTGATGCTTTCTTGGCCACCGTGTTGTCTGCCCACCCCAGGGTGAGGTCTTTGGCAGTCAAGTGAGCGCTCACTTCCTCCTGGCAGCGTTCTCACGTGCTTGTGTGAGTGGCTGGAGGTCCAGCTCCTCAAGCACCTGAGAAGCCTTTCTGGAGAAGCCCGCTCTTCACTGACAGGTAAGCATGCTGCTTCTCTCTCCCCTTGAAAAATTTATTGCTTAGAAGCCTGGTCTAATCCTGCAGTGAGCAGGGAGAGATAATTTTTTTTTTTTTCCTTCCCGACATGGTGATGTGGACAGATTTTTGTGTAAGCTCCTGCTGCAAACAAGTTTGGGTTTTGGCAGAGCAAGTGTCCACACGTGCCTCTGGGTACAATGACGGGTGATCTCCCTGTGGTCTTTGCTCGCTATGTGACGTGCTCACGTGGAAATTCCTGTTGCTGGTGTGCTTAGGGTCGTGCCAATCCTGGGAGCATGGGACAAAACCAGCGTGGAAATAAAATTGTGAAAAGACCCAAGACAGGTCTGGAGGTGAGTCCGGTCGTCTCCTGCCTCACACAGAAGCCCCTGGGCAGGTTGAGGAGGAACAAGGAGAAAGGCTGTTGGAGTGTTGGGAAGGGGTCCAAAATACCCTCAATCTGAGACCCGAGCGTGCAGCTTTTGTCTTCGTGCTCTGGGAACCTGGGCTATGTGACACCTACACGGCGGTGCTTTAGGAAACTAAAAATTGAGAGGTATGGAGATATTAAGGTGTCAACGGCTGTCTCAGCACTTAAAGAACAATTTAGGCTGCGAACAGGAAACCATTTATTTGTCTGGTTTAGTAAATTAAAATTCTGTGCACGTTATTCCAAAGGAGGCTTTTTAGAAAGAAAAAAAAAACAAACTGAAAAGAGTGACAGATCTTACTTGGAACTGTCTGTGGAGATGGAGCCAGCTCCCTGTCGGCGTGCCTGTCTGCGTACCGTTCTCTCTAGGAGAAAATGGTAATGACAACGTGGATTTGGGATGTGTGCTCTAGAAACACGGTGCCTGGAGCGTGCCGGTGCTACCTGGAATAAGTGTGAGGTTATCTGGGATCACCACAAGCTGGCCAGAGGTTTTTTTAGGCTGCTTCCTCCATCTCTTGCTGAATTACAGCGAAGCTGGCCTCAAACAGCCGTACTGGGGCGGCTGAGGACAGAAGCAAGGCATTAGACAACTTGGCCTTGGTGTCTTCTGACCTTCCACCCTGCTCCTGAGAATCAGGAGCTGCGTTTTTCTCTCATGTTTTATCCTTATTCCTATTTAAAGAAGATCCAGGAGGCTGCAGCTGCCAGCAAGCTTAAAAACTCTTCTCCTTCTAGAGCATATTTCTGACAGAAGCAGTCTTTGCAAACTCGGTCTTGGTCTGTTTCTCTTGGCTTGAAGGAACTTGTCAATCCAGAAATAAAATCAGGAGACTTTATTTAACTTGCCGGCAGTTTGTCTTGGAAAGGGGGTCATCAAACTTCTTTGCTTTGTTATTTCCTGACATTCATTCATTCATACGTGCGGCCTTGGAAGCTAGGAGTCAAAACAAATACAACCAAAAGCACAGAGTCTCTTTTTTTTCTTTTTTTCTTTTTTTCTTTTTTCTTTTTTCTTTTTTCTTTTTTCTTTTTTCTTTTTTCTTTTTTCTTTTTTCTTTTTTCTTTTTTCTTTTTTCTTTTTTCTTTTTTCTTTTTTCTTTTTTCTTTTTTCTTTTTTCTTTTTTCTTTTTTCTTTTTTCTTTTTTCTTTTTTCTTTTTTCTTTTTTCTTTTTTCTTTTTTCTTTTTTCTTTTTTCTTTTTTCTTTTTTCTTTTTTCTTTTTTCTTTTTTCTTTTTTCTTTTTTCTTTTTTCTTTTTTCTTTTTTCTTTTTTCTTTTTTCTTTTTTCTTTTTTCTTTTTTCTTTTTTCTTTTTTCCTTTTTTCTTTTTTCTTTTTCCCTTTTCCCTTTTCCCCCTCATAAAACTGCAATTATGAAAACTCATTGTCAGGTCCCTTGGACAACCTGAAACCCAAACTTTGCAGGGCTTGCTCTTCACGTTGGGCTACCAAACATGGAAACCAGCCTACTGCGTGTGACTTTCGTACCCTCTCTCCTTTTTTTTTGTTCTGTTTTGTGCGTTTGAGCCTTTCTGCAAATGGTACGAACACAGATGCATTGGAGCGGTGGGAAGGACAGAAAATGCCAATCTCTTCTGGAGGGCAACTCCCTGCCGTGGTTGGGGATGAAGCTCAGGACACAGAGTTGTTCTGACCGAGAATTTTAAGAGCGATAAAACTGGGCAGGCTTTGTGAGAGGTGCTTGTTCTGAAGGAGCTGTGAAAGGCAGACTGCGCTGAGACACGTCCAGCGTACTCGAGTGGCTTTTCCAAGTTGGGAAGTGCCGGCTCAGGATGTGACTTTATTATGAGGATTCCAGCAGCCTGGCGACTCAGGTGCCCTGGTGTTTTATCATTCTTCTCTGCTCCAGATCTCATGCTGATGATTATTTTTTCATAATCTGGAGGTACATCACGCACACGGCATCTGTCCAGGCTTCCCCTGGTTCGTCGCAGGCTTTGGCAGCAGCAAATCTTCCAACTCGATGACTGAAGGAGCAACTCCACGGGTACGTGAGGGTGCTTGAGCTCTGACTCGCACCAGGACAGACACTGGGCAGTTTGTCAGCTCCCTCCTTTGCCAGACTGCCTCTCCGCGTCTCCTGGGGAGGACTAAGCTCCCAGCTGAGACTTCCCTTTGCCAACATAAGATCTCTTTTGTGCTGAGACGTGCCGCAGGGACGGCTGTTCCTGGGTGATATCCCTGGTGAAGAGAAGACTGGTTTTGCTGAGCTTGCTGCTAAACGATCTGTTATGCTGGATCCTAGCTCAGGCTGGTTTGTTTTGCCCCACCTTAGTCTTACTGCTTCTGGGTTGCTTTTCACCCAGTGCTGTGTTCCCGCCCAGGCTGCCAGATCATCTGTTCCTCCCTAGTTCCCATTTCAGGGCATGTTTGACCCATGATTCCGCAAAATAACCTTGGAGTGCCTCGTTGTCACTTGAAATGTCCTTGATTGCAGTGACGAGAGTGACAAGAAGTCAGAAAAATACCGGGAGAGTTGCAGAAAGGCCACTGCTTAAGACAATCCTCTAAATGCCGTATGTGCCCACCCGGTGCTGAGAAGCAGCTCCTGATGCGCTGGCTCGTGTGCCTGCAGGGCTGTGCACAGCCTACTTTCCTTGGGTTTGTCCTCAGAAACACTCCAAGTCGAGAAAAGCTCGCTTGCTCGGAGTCTCTGCAGACCCGAGCGGCGGCCGGCAGCCGGGTCATCGTCACGGTCCTCAGTCCTGCCAGCCCAGCTTGGGGTGAGGCTGGAGGCTCTTTGAGGTGCCGCGCTCTGGCTGCGGGTGTGAACTTGCCTGTCTCGAGTTTTGCCAGCCCTGGCCTCAAGTTTTGCTAGCCCTTGGCCTCACGTTGCGCCTGTCTCAATTGCTGGCATCACCACGCCTTGAGAGGTGACAGGGAAGCGGGTCATGGGTGCCATTCAGGGCAGATGTTTGTGGGCCTGAGGGTGCCGTAGGTCCCTCTCTTTCCAGAAGAAATGACAGAGGGGAAGGTCCAGCAGCAAGACTTTTGGTCTGCGCCTCTGGGGTTTGCCAGCATAGCCATACTGTGTGCGTTCTCTAACAGCACACTGGGGGTGGTTGGCAATGCCTGGAGTGGATCTTAGTTGTGAGATCCCGGTCCTGCGGAAGTGCTGTGTTTCTAACTGGTATCACTCAGTTTTTTTCCTTGCCAGCAAAGGATCGACAGAACAAGGCAGGTCCTGCAGAGGGAAAATGTGCAGGAGATGGGTGTGTTTTACTAACTTTGTCATGTCCTGCTCCCATCCTACCACTGAAAGTGGTTGTTCTGGCTGCAGGAAAAAGAAAAACACTGTTTCTGCCTCAGTAAGTTTGTATCAGAATTGTGACAGGAGGAGGGTGTGTTTTGCTCCTCCAACCACCCAGTCACCAAGGCAGTTCCTCCTCCTCTGTAGAGATTGCTGCTTTGGAAATGATTTGGGGGACGCTGCAGCCGAAACAGGAGCAAAACCTTCCCTAACAGTCTGGGACTGAGTTATTACAGACCTGGTATCTCAATTTTTGCCCTCTCAGGCAGATTGTGCTGTCCCTCAGCCTTCTGATTCCTGCAGCTGGAGGTGGTCTCTCAGGTGTGTGTCCCTTCCATTTTGCGTGCTGTGAAATGTCCTGATAGCTCCCAATTTTCTTCCCCCAGGGCATTCTCTTGGTGTACGACATCACTAATCGCTGGTCCTTCGACGGGATAGACCGATGGATAAAGGAAATAGATGAGGTAAGGTGAAGAAAGAGCACGCCGCCTCTGTATAAATCGGGAGTTGTATACAAGGACTTGAGAACAGTCAAGAAAGAGGAAGGTTCCCTCTAAAATGGACTGTGGAGGGGGTAAAGTAGTCTTCCTCATCATATAGTAGCACCGCTTGGCAGCCTGTCTTCATCACAGAGCAGTTTCTATTTCTTTGCCCTTCGCTGCCTTCACAGCTAAGCAGAAAACCAGGTGCAAGCTGCCCTTACTGAGGACAAACCATGATTCCTCCACTTCTTCCCTTTCCTTTTAAGCACGCCCCGGGTGTCCCTCGGATCCTCGTGGGAAACAGGCTTCACCTCGCCTTCAAGCGGCAGGTGCCGACGGAGCAGGCGCGGGCTTATGCGGAGAAGAACTGCATGACGTTCTTTGAGGTCAGCCCCCTGTGCAACTTCAACGTCATCGAGTCCTTCACAGAGTTGTCTCGTATCGTCCTCATGCGGCACGGCATGGAGAAGATCTGGAGACCCAACAGAGGTCAGTAGAGGGAAGGAGACGCTCCGTTGTGGGGAAGGCAAGACAGCTGGCTGGGCTGGAGCAGAGGGGTAGGACTGCCAGGATGGGAGGTGCGTTTGTTGGTAACTGTGGGATCTGAGAGCACCAGATGTGGAGAAATGCCTCATGTCACACAAGGTGAAGCTGAGCCACCACAAACTGCTTGTACTAGTGCAGGAACCCCCCGCTGAGGGATGGGCAGCTCAGCGTGTCTAGGATCTGAATTGCTCTGGGGCATCCTACACCTCTCCACTTATTCCAGAGGAGGCTGAAGGGCAGTTAAGCTCACGACTTGAAAGTACTTCCATCAGATGGCTGGGTGGGATGAGTCCAGGCATGAGCACCTCTGGCCTTACCCTTGCCTGAGCCTGTGTCTCCAGTTTGGGAGGGACCTGGAAGCAGAGTGAGCCCAAGGAGCCGGAAGGGGCTGTGAGCGTGCCAGGGTATTCCGCATACCCACACACATGTGCCGCAGCGCAGCAAACTGCTAAGAGACTCTGTGTTACTTCTCAACCTGGAAGCAAAATAGTCTTAGGTGGCTGGAGGTAGCGGTGTGCCTCACGCACAGGCTGAGCAGCGGGATATTTACGCTTTTGGGATTGACCTGCTTTCACTTGGATCCTCAGCCTCTGCTCTGCAAGGGAGGGAAAATCCTGTTTGCCAGCCCCAGTGGCCAAATTGTCTGCTTGGGGGGCCCGGCTGCCATGCCACCGCCTCCAGCTCATGGAGGGGTGAGCGGGAGGACCTGGGGGGTTCACAGACCTCTCCTGAGCCGCTTGCAGCTGCTGCCTGCTGGGGACCAGCAGCGTGGCTTTGGCAGCGGGCTGGAGGTGAGAGTGTGCCCTCGTGTGGATGCTCGGAGGGAAATCTCTTCCAAGCAGACTTCTGGAGCAGGCTCACATGATTTACGCTGAGTTAAGAGGACACCAGGGAGCCTGAAAGGGCAGAATCTTCATCTGGCTTGGTGGGGTCTCAGTCCCATGGCTGCTGCTCACCAAGTGACACTGTCAAGCTTCGGGGCTTGTAACCCCTGCTGCCTCCTGCCAGGGCACATCTTTCTGGTTGCCAGACGGTGGCCTGGGAAGCCAAGGGTCTGTCAGGAGTGGGCACAAGGCACTGCCTGCCCCAGGCGCTGTGCAGAGAGGGGAGCAGCAGTGTCTAAGCCCCACATTGTCCCCATGTGTTGCCTGATCTACGCGAGAGGTGGCGTCCCTGGTGACAGGGAGGTTGGATTAAATGATCTCTAAGGTCCCTTCCAGCCTAGGCCGTTCTATGATTCTATGATGCCAAAGCTGGTCTCCAGGGGCAGAGCCTCCCTGGGGTTTCCCAGGCTCTTTTCCTAACTAATCTACTCGAGGCTCTACCTGTGATCGTTTTTAGCATCTCTCCCCAAAGGAGCAGGAGCTGCACAGCGTAAGGAGTAGTTGCAGGGAGAAAGAAGCCCTCAAAATCTCTTGACTATTGACCCATCTGGTCTTTTCTCCCACCAGTGTTCAGCTTACAGGACCTGTGCTGCCGAGCCATCGTTTCCTGCACCCCAGTCCATCTCATCGACAAGCTGCCGTTGCCTGTCACCATCAAGAGCCACCTGAAATCCTTCTCGATGGCCAACGGGATGAATGCGGTGATGATGCACGGCCGCTCCTATTCCTTGGCCAGCAGCGGCGGCGGGGGCAGCAGCTTGAAGAGATCCAAATCGATTCGCCCGCCCCAGAGCCCCCCACAGAACTGCTCGCGCAACAACTGCAAGATCTCTTAGCAGGATGGACTCCCCCCTGAGCTTCGAACAGATCCACCCCCACCCACCAATGTACAGCTGTTTGCACACTTAAAACCCTTTTTGACCGGATCTCTTCACGATGGGCCACGGTCGCTTTTTTCCCCGACGGCACTCACAGGCTTTAGGAACGCGCTCACGTTTTTTTGGCTTCGCGCGGTGCCGGCTGGATCTCGTGGCGCTGGCAGGGAGAGAGGACTCTGCCAAGTTGACCCTCCAAGAATGCTTCGGGCTTTGTCTCTCAGCCCAGGGTGGAAAATTCAGCAGCTGCCGTGTTGGGGAGGGGAAAAAAAAAAAGGCTCGTCCAGTCTCAATGGAGAAATGGATTTAATGGAAGATTGAGAGGCTTAAGGGAGTAGGCAAGGGGAGTCTGTGCTGCAACTTTAACTCTTGGACTCCTGAACTGATTGCTGGTGCAATTGTAATCATTGGATGTAGGAAAATTGTAAAAAAGGAAATGAGGACGGGGGACTAATCACAGTTTTCACCAGGATGTTAACCTGATGTTGCCAAAAAAAAAAAACAAACAAGAAAACAAAGCAAGAGTTGGCCAATTAGAAAGGGGAAGGCAGCAGTCTGCTTGCCTTCTTGGTTTATTTATGTAAATATTATACATATATATATATCTCACTTGTTTTTTAGGGTTTTTTTTAAGAAGCAGTCAGGGAAAATTTTATGCAGCCATGTAAATACAAGCACTGGGTTAACTTTCACAGTATCAGCAAAGAGGGAGAAGCAGAGGATTTTTCCAATGAAAATACACAAATGCTTTAGCTTTCAATCACCGCCTGGGCTTGCGCTGGGGTTTTTTGGTTTTGTTTTTTTAAATACTACGTACGCAGACGGCAGAGCGCTTTGTGTGTATCGTACGCCGAGCTGCTTTATTCCCATCATCCCCTAGAATTTGTGAGTGCCGAAGGCAGGGTGGGATGGAAGTGGATCGAGAGGCAGAGCGGAGGGGGATTGTTTTCGGTGGGCAGGACCAAGGGGCAGCTCTGAGGCCAGACTTGACGCTTTGCTCGCTTTGCGCCTTCCGATGTGCAGCCGATTGGGCGAACCAAGGAGCATCGCCCCTAAAAGCAGAGGAGAAGTGCTGAATTTTTGTCCCATATTTGCTGCAAAACCTTCCAGAGCCTTCCATCCATGACAGCCCTCCTTTCACCCCGGAATCTTGGCTGCTTCTTGCTTTGCTTTTTCCGGAGACATTCTGCCTGAGCTTGCGTCGCTGCGGCTCCTCCTGGATGAAAGTCGGGAAAGGACAGAAGCTTTTCCCACTGGAGCGTGAAGGAGCCGAGAGACTGGGAGGGCGAGAGAGAGGTTTGAGTGAGAAAACAGCAGAACACGCCCAGGTCCCGTCAAAGGCGCTGGGCTCTCGTGGCCGCGCCAGGAATTCGGGAGAGCAGATTGCTGGGTTCCGTAGGCCCACTCCGGGGGTTTGGAGGAGCGTGGTGTGCTTGGGGGTGAGAGCTCGAGGTGCTGTTGCACGTACAACAGGAGGAGATCGTGTGTTGAGCAAGTGCTTGCCTGGCTTCATCCCTGGGGCTGATCCGTGCTGGAAATTCACCTGGGAACTTTGAACACAACGCCTAGGCTTTGCTGCAAAAGCAACAGGATTAATCTGTTCTCGACAGGTTCTCATAGGCAGCCAGGATGTGAAGATCACGAGTAACACAGTGGAAAGCGAACCGCTTCTGTGCAGGGCCGGTCACCAGCCGGTGTGGTGCTGCCATCTTCCTCCCGGTGTTGGCAACTTCTCGAGGCTTGGCCTTTTCTCCTCCCACCCCTCTCCAACACCTTTCCCAGAGCAGCTTGTAGCATTGCTCGGGCAGGATGAAGCCGCAGCGGCTCCAGGCCGACGAGACCCGCTTTGTTCGGGCAGCATGTGGGGACGTGTCCCTTCACAGGGAGGGGGGGACATCTCCTTCCCTTTGCTTCTGAACCCACCTGGGAGAAGCGAAAGGAGCCTTTTCCCCCTCTCTCCGCTCCACAGAACAAACTACAACAGAGAGGGGTGGGTCTCTTGGCTCTGCTCTGGCGTGCTTTATCACCCGGATCAAATGAGCGAGGAGAGGATTAAAGCCCGGGCAGGTGGAAGGGGCACGGGGCAGGAGAAGAATCCTTTTGTAGTGGTGGTTTGGCTCGAAGAGCAAAGACACAGCCAGGCTCGGTGTGAAGGCCGGGGGATTTCAAGAACCTGTCCGGGAGCAGCCGGCACCTGTTTCCCATCACTTAACGTGCGGCAGAAGACAATCGCTGGCTCAGCAGCCCCGGGGATATATGGCCGACAGGTGATTGGCGCTGCAAAAAGGCCACTTTTCTCCTCAAAAACACCAGCCAGGCACCACCAAGCTGCTCCCGGGCACTGGTGTGACGAGGGACGGAGGTTTCCTTCCCAAAATCACGAAGCTGCTGCATGGCTAGAAAAGAAACTTGGTGTACCTCTGCTTGATTTGGCTTTGCCACGCACGATGACACCTCCCCGTCCCTTGCGGTTGGGTTTTGGGTTTGTTGGATTGTTTTAGGTTGGTTGTTTGGTTTCTTTTCACCCAATAAGGTCTCAGCATACCCTGTCTGTAGTGAGGATGAAAGATTTACCTGGAGTGATTGCTCAGTAAAAAAAAAAAACTTTTTTTTTTCTTTTGTTTTAATTTAAAAGGAAAAGATTCTTGCGTCTGATGTCAACACTAGTCTGTAGCTGCTCTCCAACACTTGGACATTCCTGAGTTGGGTTTGTTGGTTTTTTGTTTTTGGACTATCCTTTTATTTTTTTATTCCTTTGTACAGTCAATGTTGTTCAACTGATTCTACATTGTTTTGTTTTGTATAAATTAAAGTCTCTTTTTTGTTTGTTTTGAACTACCCATTGAAAGGCGGAGAAGTTGTATCAATTTTCATGTGGGCTGGGAAGAAGCTGAAGGGAGAAGGTGGTGGTTTTGCCCGAACCCGGGTATTTGGGGCTGCCTGCGGTGTGAGAGTGTGTTGCCACTTCCAGATCATGCACAAAATAACTCCTGTTGTATTTTCTGACTGTATTCACCCAGCCTGGAACAAGCTGAAAGTCAGCCTGGGATAAACGTGACTCTGAAACGAAGATGCTGCGAGGGCAGGTCGGAGCACCCGTGTGGCTTCGGGGTTGGCGTTTGTCTGAAGACAGTGGGAGCCCCAAAGAAAAGGGGGTGTTTTGCTTTTGGGATGGAGGGAAGCTTTTCACCCTGGTCCTTTTCTCTCTCACTCCTACCCCACCTCCCCTTGACCTCCCTTTTCCCCTTGCCTGCTCTTGATTCCCGAGGATCAGATTTTCCACTTCGTACCAGACTGGCCACGCTTGTTTTAACAGCTTAAGTAGTAATTGCTGGGGCTGGGAGGGGGCAGCGGGGGGAAATGAGATAGTGTCTGCAGCCAGAAAACCCTGGAGCTAAGGTGAAAGCCTGGTCAGGGAAGAGTCATGGAGATTTTTATTATTTTTTATCTTTTTTTTTTTTCCAAGGGGGTTCTCTGGAAGTGCTGAAACAAAGGCTGTGTGTGGTTTCAGGTGGGGGTACACACAGCCGGAGCCCATTACGCTGGAGCAGCAGGGGCTGCCTTCAGTCCGGCCGCCTGGGAAGAGCAGGGCAAGAAAACACACGGCGCAGCCAGGACGTCGCGGGAAAGGCTGCGAGAGCTTTAGGGGTCCCCGTTCCTCGGGGAAACAGGAGAGAGCACATTGCGCTGGGCTGGGTTAGGGGTTTTTTCCCTAGTTGAGCGTGTTTCTCTGAGCCTGTCTTCCCAATTTGAGGGTGTCTTGGGTTGGTCCTGCTGTTGAAAATGAGGAGGCACCTCCCCACTGGGTTCTTGGTGGGGCAGGAGCCCTCCCTGGGTGCAGGGTGTTACTGGAGAGGTGGGAGGAGGGAACGTGATGTTTTGCCTTTCCTGCACTCCCTTGAAGGGAGAAGATGAGCCACAAAACGTATCTGGAATCTTTGAAAGTGACCCCAAAACCTCCCTGTCTTGGGGCACAGCGGGTGCTTGGACACATGGAGGTGAATAGTTTGGGAGAGGTTGCGGTTAAGGCTGCTTTAAGGCTTTTGACATGGAAAGTTGAGCATGGGCTTGATCCAGGGTGGGGAGAGTTGCTTTTTCTGTCCTCTTCTGAAGAAAAGGGTTAGGTGGGTGTCTCTGGCTGTGGCCAAGGGTCTCAAGTCAGTGGGAGCTGTGTTTCCAACCACATGGCATCCCTCTGGCCAGCCTCGTCTTGTTGAGGCAACACCTTCAGCTGGCGCTCGTCCTGGCCTCGCCCCTTTTCATCTCACTGATGTGGCGCTGAGGTATCTGGGGCAGAAACATGGGCTGCGGGATCCCACCCAAACCCCCGCGCCTGCATCTTACTAGACCCTGTAGCTGTGACCGTGTGGGGATGGGCGAGAGCTGCGTTCCAGGCTTTTCCTTCCTCCTGCACCCGCACCCTCTGAAGGACCCTGGGGCACCCCGAATCAATTCTGTGCCCCCATGGGCACGCCGAGGTGCCATGGCCAGAGCAAGGTGGGTTTGGGGGGATCAGGGATCTCCATCTCCAGTTGGGATCTGGGATGGAGCGCGGGGAGGGGGGCTCCAATCTGTTGGGGCAGTTGGGAATTCACCCCCAGCAGCTCCGGAGCCGGGTTGTCCTGAGCCAATTCTGTGTTGGCAAAACATTTCATGAGCATCCTGGGGCAGCGTAACCTCCCTTTGGTTCCATGAAACCTGGGAGCCTGGGCACGGCCACGGGACGTTGCTCCAGCCCTCCCCGCCTGGTCACGATGAGCCAGTGTTGGCCTGACAGTGGTTTGGGGGGG